TAGAAGTGGAATTTTTGAACTGCAGTAGTCATTGCCAGAATAATCTCCAAAGTCGTTCATTAGATTTATACAACTATTGATGGTTTATAGTCACTTGCACTTTTCAAGTTGTAATCAGAGACAATCAATACCATCTCCAAGAAGTATTAATAAAAATGCTGCCCTGAAAAAAAGTAGTTCGCACTTTTCCAAGATCCGGTCAAGATTGTTCACCCACTAATTCATAGCGACGTTGCTTTTTGATCCAAGATCTGGTCAACACCTGACAAAGCCAGACTTTAAAATTCTGCTGACAGATGGGCAAAGTGGATGCTCCACTTTAGTAAGACTGAATGTTTATTTTCTCCTATTTTTATTAACTATTTAGATTTCTTCTTCTGTGAATCTGCTGTAAGTATTCTCTAGTTCATTTTTCAATTTGGTTGTTTGGTTTTTTTTCTTATTGATTTGTAGGAGATTTTTTGTTATGTTTTGAATATTAGTCCTTTCCTATCTCTTTTGTCTGCATGTGCACGTATTAAAATCTGCAACAGTCCATTGTTTTTCTTTGTTCATTTTGTGTAGGGTGACTTTTACTGAACAGAAGTAAAATTTTTCATATAGTAAAAGAAAGAAAAATGAGTGGCATAAAGAAAATGTATCAACTCATAGATCCCGCCTCCTCTCAAGAACACAGCACTAGAGCCACTGGAATCCGACTAAAGGAGAAGTCAACTGTGTGAATCTGGACGCGCCAAGCAGGGTAAGTAGTCCCTACCACATGGGAAAAGCCCTAAAGCTGGGAGTCAGGACACCTGATCCCAAGAACGAGGTAAATCGTCTCTCATTCATGAGAGGTGGTGGTACCGTGCATACTTGCCACCTCCCCGAGGTGTCAGGATGCCAATGAGACAACGCAGGCGATAGGGCTTCAGCAGCAATACAACCTCATCAGAACTGTTAGCGTAATCCTAATGGGTGCGGTCAGTATAAGGCAAAGTCTCTGGACAGCCAGTCTTATAACTCCACCATTAGGCCAGGAGACCACTGCTGCAATGCAGTCATGGGGCATCAGTTATGTTTCTTTACTTATTTTGATTCACAGATAGACTGCCTGAATTAGGGTACATGGACTACCTCAGAAGAAAGCTACTGGGACTCTGGTGTGGGGTAAAAGAGGGACCCAGACTCCAAAGTCACGTGGTCCTGTGGCTCTAAGGCAACATGTTTCCGGAGGCCAGCAGCTCCCGCAGCACCTGGGAATCTGGTAGAAATCTAAACTCCAGGCCCACCCACACCTATTGAATCCTAGTCTGATGAGGGTGCAGGGATCTGTGTTTCTCTAAGCTCTCCCAGGATTCTAATGCTCACCCCTACTCAGGAACCACTGTCTAAGGAAAACAGGGCATGCACAGGTAAGCAGCACAGGAATCCTTCAAGAAACACAGAGCCCAGAAGGTAACCACAGATGTTTGCCCTCAGAAACTAGTCCTAGGTGTCAAGCACACGCCAAGTGACAGCTGACTCAGCAAAGAATGTGCTTGCCTGGGCGTGGGTCTATGGCTTGAATCCAAGGCCTAGGCCACAGCCTGTCAGCAATCAGGGGGCTCACTGGCTGACTTGTGGATAAACTTCCTGACTCCAGACTCCCAGCTAGAGAGGAAGTGTGTGGCAGCAACGGGAACACATTAAGATGTTTCTCACTGGAACTTCCCTGGTGGTCTAGTGGCTAAGACTCTGCGCTCCCAATGCAGGGGGGTCTAAGTTCAATCGCTGGTTAAGGAACTAGATCCTACATGCCACAGCTAAATCTCAGTGCGACCAAATAAACATTTTTAAAAAATATACGTTCTCTTACAAAGGTTTGCAAATGGCTGTCAGGAATCAGAATGGGAATCCAGAGTCTCAGCAGCAGAGCCAGCTGCAGGGCACCCCATGAGCAAGTGCTGTACCCACTGCCACTAAAATCTCGGAGGAGAAGGTCCAGTTCAGCACACACACACCTTGCTTCCCTGAAGAAAGAACCCAAGGTGACCAGAAGCCACCAGTATGGCCACTGTCCCATCTGGAGTTGTGAGACTGGGACAACCAATCCACGGGCAGGGCCTGCTTTCCAAGTCACCCATATTTCCCCGTCATCTACTGACTCAATGCCACTTTGCACTTTTCCTTTTCTTCCCAGGAGTGACACAGGATAGACTCTGGTCAGATTATCAGTCCTCAGTGACACCTGGCCTGGATACCTCCTCTTTCCCTCAGAGGCTCCTGTCCCGTTCCCCAACTGAAGGACACTAGCCCTCAGCCAAAGTTCAGATTCCTTGGTTCTCCTCAAGGATAAATGTCCTGTCTGCAAGTTACTTACCCTAAGGAAGAAGAGGGACGAGTGAACAGGCAACTACAATAAAGTGCTGTGAATGCCAGAGGTTTGGGGTGGGAGTGGGACCAGTCACAAAGGCAGGGAGACATCCTGCCCAGAGGGTCGTGAATCCAACGGAGCAGGGTAAGCTTCACCTGGGGGTCCACCAGGAATGTATTAGCCTCTACTTGTTGACATGTGGTCTCCCTTGGCAGGGCCTGAGATGTAGGCAGGGCCTTCATCCTCTCTGCCTAGTAATTCAGGAATGTTTGCTGACATGGGTGCATCAGATTACCATGGTTTAGGATGCTAGCCCTCAGCACAGCCAACGCCCCGCACTACCTCTGTACTCCCCAGATAACCTCCAGTTTCCTCCGGCAGCTTCGAATGCCTGCCTGCATATATTTACAGAATTGTGCTAGAAAAAGAATGATGCATACTCCCTGTAGCCCATCCTCAAGGAGGGGAGACAGGAGCTTAAGTCACTAATAATGCACAGCTTTAAAAGTATGCTAGAGGGTAGAGAGAGCTGAGAGGGATGTCTTAGAGGGAGACCCATCACAGAGGGCAATGCCTTCAGTGGCCCTCAGCTCAGAAGCACAAGGTTCCCAGTGCACAGACTTGGTCTTGCTTAATTCATGTGAAACAGACTCACAGACACCAATAGCTAAACAATCATAAGGCCAAGTTAATAATTTACCTTTTCAGTAGCTAATCATGTCTGCCCAGGACATGCCCTGAAACGCATAGTTCAGGCACTCATTTGACAGGGATTTCATACACACCAAGTACCCATATTTAGTAAACTGTGAGCACCTGGTTGAGGGAAACAATGCAGCCAAATGAGGCGGAGACCCAGAAATGGGAGACAGAATTGTGCAATGAGCTTGGCGTCAAGCTGGAGTTCAAACACTGTGCACTATTTACCAGACAGGTGACTTGAGGAAACTTAAATCTTCCTGAGTCTCTTTCCTCACCTGTAAAATGGGCATAACAACACTCCCTCATGTGAATGTTTAAGAATTAAATGAGGTTACACATGCATAACTAGGGTTACACATCCTAATTTTATCCATGGTTATATTCATCTGGAGAGGCTGTGTGGTATAATGGTTAAGAGAACAGACCCTGGGATCAGACAGATGTGATTGTAGCTCTACCACTTACCAATATATCATCTAGGGCAAGCTGCTTAATTTTTTCCAGTAAGCTTCAGTTTGCTCATTTGTAAAACGGGAATAAAAATTCCTCACAGAAACAAAGAAGTAAGTGTATTCAAAGGACTTAGAAAATTCTAGATTATAAAAACCATTCAACAAATGGTATGTTTGAGATTTTTAAAAATTGTCTATGATTAGATACGACTGACACATGTACTAAAAATTAAAATTAGTACAAACTTCAATGAAATTAAATATGGGGCCATCAAACATGATCCAAAAAAAGTGACCACTTTGTATTTAGTTATTAAAAAAACTTTTTCAGGAAGCAGGCCTCTAGCCTCAGACTAGTTTCATACTCATAAACTAGTTCCTAAAATAATGTCATTTGTGTGCAGTCATGCAAAAACTCAAAGTTTCAATACTGCTAAGTCATGCCTCAGCGTGAACCAGAGAAGCATGTCTGGATCTAGCTTTCCAGTTTGTGTGACCGGAACCCTGGTATCCATAAAGCATTATGCATTTGATTTAACAATTATGTACCAAAGTATACACCATGTGATTGTAATAAAAGCCCCTGCAGCAAGGGACAGATTATTTCTCTCAATTCTGGATCATCCCTTTTATTTATTTTCTCCCTTTTATTTACTCTCCCTACTGACCCTGTTGGGTTTTAAATGATTTATACCGCTTATAAAACCTTGCAAGAGTAATCTTGAACTTTGATTTTAAAAATCAACATTTTTCAATCCTAACCTTGCAAATTTGAATGGTGTAAATCAAAGGTCAGCCCCTTATCCAACTCACCCTGTCCTCAGCAACACTGCTACTTCATTTCATCCAGATCCGGGAAACCACATAGCTGACCAGGACACTGCTCCAACCGCTCAGTTATTTGGCTCTTACTCTCTTATAATCAAGTATGTTTTCACATTTCAAGGTGGACTCTGCATTTTTACAGTCGCAACCGAAATTTTACACAAAATAAAAGTAAAAAATGAGAGTTTCTGTAATCACCAAAACTAAAATTTAAGAAGCTCCTGGTAAACTGTAATCATTTGCAAGTGAATACACTGGAACTGGAACCTTATTAGTACACCCACTTTGGTCTCTGCTTTGTCCAGCAAGAACACTGGAAACACTGGGGGGGGGATGATTCCACGAACGGTAAGGTGATGTGAGGCTTATTTTGAGCAAAGTGATGGTGGAGCACGAGAACATGGAGACATTCCCCCCGCCAAGATCACTTCCAGGAGATCCAGGTGTTAAGAATTAACTTCGTGTTTTCCTCTTTATAAAACATGTGGACAAGAGAAACCAGTCAACCATGGCCTGCAGACCAGGCGTCGGGGAAGGGGCGAGGCGGACGGTTGAATCACGATCGCCGCGACTACGCACACCTGAGCTTCGGAGGATAAAAGGCGGCAAGTGGGATGAAAGACCCAGACCCTCCAAGCTTCGCCCTCTGCTCAGGCCTAGGGAATTGTGGAAAAGCAACTTCTTTCTCAAGATTGGAGGACGAGGGTCCCCGGAAAAGAAGAGACAGTGAGAAGCCCCCGAGAGTTCCCGCACCCGTCTCGGGAACATCTGAGGGAACACGCCCTCGGGGGCCGCGACACAGCCAGCGGGGGAGGGGGTACCAACCGCCATCTTCCCCGGCACCCAAACCGACAGAGCGCAGTGTAGCGGCGGATCTCCGCCGCTGAGGCCCGCCCACTCTCGCGAGACCGCGAAGGCCTCTGGGAAAAGCGGGGGAGGGGAGAACGAGAGAGGGAAGCCGGAACGCGGGTCTGGGGGCGGGCGGAGGCGGCGAGTGGAGCCTCAGGAAGCAGAAAGGGCGGGGAAAGACGCGACAGACGCGGCATGCAGGCCAATGACGAGCGAGCTCGGGCGGACTGCCAGCCAATGGGCTGTGCCGCTTGGCGCGGGGGGCGGGCGCTGGGGTCGAGGGTAGCTTGAGCGCGGCGGCGGCGTTGTTCAGTCAGAGCGAGAACATTCCAGAGGTGAGTCCGGTGGAGAGGCGGTAGCCCCGCGCCCCCTCCCCCGTCTTCCCCGCCCCCTCGACCCCCGCGGGCCGCTGGCTGGCGGGGAAGGCGCCCCGACGCCTGCAGCTCACTGCGCCGTCTCTCCGTGCCAGGTCGCCAGGCCCCGGGCGCTGAAGGGTGTGGACCCCGGACGTCGCTGGGACAGCCCCTCCCCGCTGCTCGGCGGCGCCTGGCCCGGCCGCTGCTCGCTGCGCTGCCTCCGCCGCCTCTCCTCGGACTCGGGTTCGCGCGCCTCACTTCATCCCAGTCCCGGGCGAGCAGCGTTGGGTTTATGTCTTTATTTGACGAAAACGGTGAGTCGGCGAGCGGGCGGGCTCGGGCCGGCGGGGAGATGGCGGCCACACAAGATGGCGGCGCGCCGCGTGACCCGCGCGCGCGTGTGAGTGTGTTTGTGAGCGCGCGCGCGCGCGCGTGTGTGTGTGTGGCGCAGTTCGGGCGGGCGGCGGGGCCGGGCTCCGCGTCCTCTCCTCCTCGTCGCTCCCCCGCCTTTCCCCCGCCCCCACCGCGGCCTCCCGGGAGCGCGCTGCGCGGGCCCGCCGCCACCCGGGGCTGACTCAGGCCTAATTGCTGCATTTATGAGTCATCGCCGCGGCGGGGCGGGGCGGGGCCGTCGCCCCTCCGCCGGTTTCTGTTCCTCCGGCGGAGCGGCAACCCTGAGTCCGCGGAGGGAGGCCCGGGCTGCGCACATGGCGGAGCTGCCGTGGGAGCTGGCGACGTCGCGCCGGCGCCGCGCCCGCCTCGCGGGTGCCTCCGGGTCAGCCCTGACAGCTCGGGGTGGGCTCGAAGGTGGCCAGGGTATTTGCGTGGAGAAGGGGACCACAGTCCCGCGCGCCCGCCCGGCGCGTTCATGCTCCGTGGGCGTAGTTAGGGAAGTGTGGCTCTGAAGTAAGCGCTCGCCACCGAAGGCTTCGACTTCGAAGAAAAACTCCACAGCCAGCCGTCCTGAAGTGATGTTGATGTGTCTGAGAAGTTTGTGGGTACCACAGTCTCGGTTGGGTTGGTGGGGTAGGTCGGGGTTGGTTTTTCGGTTAAAATACGGCCTACCACGGAAGCAAGCCGTCGACGTGATGACTGGTCTGATGAAAAGCTGATGCAGCGTAATTTGTCTTGTTTGAGTCTGGCATCAAAGTCACATCTTCGTCAGAATGAAGGCTTTTTGTTGCTACCGGTGTCCCGTGAGACTGGTAGCTGTTCTTTGTAAATAAACTCATGTTTTTAACGTAGAAGTAGGCGTAATTAAACAGAAAGGACAGGGAGGAATTTCGTTGCAGGAATTGTTAAACGTGGGGGTTTGTTTGTTCTCTTTCAGAGCTGTTGCGCAGCCATTGGTACCTGTATTGGGGAAACATAGCATACAAGCAAGAAGCTTACAGCCTCAGTGGCGAAAAATTTTTCATGTCAGAGACCGAGAACTCTTGCAGTCGTTTATGTCATCCCTTCTTCTCCAGACAGAGGATACCAAAAAATTGCAATCAAAGATCTCTTCATCTTATTGATAAAGCCACTAATAAGCCAAAATGTCTGTCAACGTCAACCGCAGCGTGTCAGACCAGTTCTATCGCTACAAGATGCCCCGTCTGATTGCCAAGGTAATACTAATTTTCATTTTAGTAGCAAGTCCTAAGTTTTTTATATGAATTATTAAAGGTTGCTTCTCCCAATGTGGACAATGCAAAATTTTTACTTCCTTTAGGTTGAGGGCAAAGGAAATGGAATCAAGACAGTTATAGTCAACATGGTTGACGTAGCGAAAGCGCTTAATCGGCCTCCAACGTGTAAGTAAGGCCTCTTTAATCTGAGAAGGCATTTTATTGACATAATTGTGATGCTCTCTGGTCTGCAAATCTTGCCTGAATTGATTAGCTTTTGAGTTAAGTGGAAACTTGGATTTAAAACTGATTTATAGCATTAGCCGGTATTAGTATATAAGATTACCAGGGCAACACTTTTTTAATCCTGTCCATTTAAAGAGTGATAATTCTATAAATCAGGGTGAGTAGCCAGAGAGTCCTAGAGTAGGAAATGGCAACCAACTGTAGTATTCTTGGCTGGGAAATCCCATGGACCAGAGGACCCTCGTAGGCTACAGTCCATGGGATCAAAAAAAGTCGGACATGACTTGAATGACTCAGCACTCATCCAAAGATTAATTATAATAAATTAGATTTTTCCCCCCCCAAATAGATCCCACCAAATATTTTGGTTGTGAGCTGGGAGCACAGACCCAGTTTGATGTTAAGAATGACCGTTACATTGTCAATGGATCTCATGAGGCGAATAAGCTGCAAGACATGTTGGATGGATTCATTAAAAAATTTGTTCTCTGTCCTGAGTGTGAGAATCCTGAAACAGATCTGGTGAGTGCCTTTGTGGTTCTTGTCAATAGGAGAAAAACTATTTATTTCTGTGATGTCACCAAATCATGTTCCCAAGAAGGCAGAGCAGACTTACGTAAATTGCAAAAGCTCAAATTTTATAGGTGTTTCCATACTGACCTTATTTTAAAAAAAAATCTTTTGATGTTAAACCTGGTGTTCAGGTGGTTTTTGATGGTTAGTTTCACACTTTGAATTTTCATCATGTTAATGGGTGACATATTTTTCCTTTTCTGACAGCATGTCAATCCAAAGAAGCAAACAATAGGTAATTCTTGTAAAGCCTGTGGCTATCGAGGCATGCTTGACACACATCATAAACTCTGCACATTCATTCTCAAAAACCCACCTGGTAAGTGCTTGTGATGAACTTCTAAAACCTTAAGATAAAGCAACTGATTGTTGGAAACAGTGGAAGTGTCTTTACTGTGATAAAAAAAAAATAAGGTTAACCCTTGAACACCTGCGAAGGTGAAAGTTTGCTTATAACAATAAGGTCAGCCCTGTGTACACAAGGATCAACCAATCAACGGTGAATGGTGTAGTACTGTAGTATGTAATTATTGGGGGGAAAACTCCATGTAAATGGATCTGTGTAGTTTCAACTTATGTTCAAAGGTCAACTGTTTGATAAGTGTGCTGTTGTATGTACTATTAAAGGTAAAGTACAGGCTACCATGAAACTCAACCACATCCTCAATTTTTAAGATATCTTGGGATGTATGAAATATTGGACAAATTATCATGGGGTCATAGTAAAAGATCTACTCCTGGAATTGTTCAGTTCCTAAGTTGAGTTGGACTCTTTGCAACTCCACAGACTGCTTCTGGAATACTGATTTGTACATGAGGGCCTTGGCTCACTAGGCCAAAGTGGCTTTAGAGCATGCAAGCAACACTCTGTGGCAGATAATCAAAATTGTCTGACACAATTTGAGCTTGCTATAGCAAGAAAGTCTAACCTATTCCGGTGTTCTCCTCTCTGTGAGACTAGCCGTTATATAGACTTAAACACTGTTCTAGTTCTTGGCCAAAGCATAGTTGCGAATAACCTTTGTTTAGAAGTTTATGAGGAGTGGAGAGAGAGGGTCCGTGAGTGCCAACTTTTAGCTTTAAGTACTTGATCCACTGAGGTCACCTTGTGGTCTTAATTTTATTCAGTAACTAAGTGGTGTCCAACTCTTAATTTTACTAAAATAGCTAATACCACTGATATTTACTGGCTTTTCTTTCTTTGACTGAGTTACTTATGAAACACAGTGGATGAATTTGATTTATGAACCTTTTAGAATTACAGGTAGTGTTTTCTGAGGGGAGAGTTTTAAATGTTAATGGTGGGCAATAAGGTGTAATATAACTCACAGTACTAAACTTTCTTTCCTCTTTATCCGTGTAGAGAATAGTGACAGTAGTACAGGAAAAAAAGAAAAGGAAAAGAAAAATAGAAAGGGCAAAGACAAGGAAAATGGCTCCGTTTCCAGCAGTGAGACACCACCACCACCACCACCAAATGAAATCAGTCCTCCTCCACATGCTGTGGTGAGTGCAAGGTTTGATGGGCGTGGTGGGCACTAAAATTGTATAAAATGTGACTTTTGGTTGAGGTGGGCAGAAACAAACTGCTTTTCTTTGAACAGTGTACCAGTTCATTGGGTTCCAGGTGCTTACTGGTTGATTAAATAGAAATTTAGTGAGAAAATGATAGTTATACTAGAAATCTGGATTTTTTTTTTTTTTAATTCACCTTTCAAGGTCTCTTTTTGGCCAAGCATTGTTGTTGTTAAAAACAGGAAGAAGAGGAGGATGACGACTGGGGAGAGGATACAACAGAGGAAGCTCAAAGGCGCAGAATGGATGAAATCAGTGACCATGCAAAAGTTTTAACCCTCAGTGATGATTTGGAAAGGACTGTTGAAGAGCGGGTCAATATCCTGTTTGATTTTGTTAAGGTAAAAACATTTTGTTGATCAGTAAGTCAGCTTCTACCCAGCCTTGAGCTTTTGCTAGATATTTGTTACCTTAAGCTGTTTGTTCAAAAATTTTTTGAGGGTGGTTCCAGGCACTGTTTTTGGCAGGTGTGTATTACTTAGAAGTCCTAGAATCTTCAGTTAGGTAAGGGAATAGTTCATCAGAGCAGGGACTGTGGTGCGGTTCTGTGCTGTGCTTAGTCGCTCAGTTGTGTGCAACTCTTTGTGACCCCGTGGTCTCTACCTTCCACACACTGTCCGTGGAATTCTCAAGCCCTGAGTGCGTAACCATTTTCTTCTCCAAGGGATCTTCCCAACCCAGGGATCGAACCCGTGTCCTCCTGCATTGCAGACAGACTCTTTTACCATCTGAGCTACCAGGGAAGCCCCAGGGACAGTGCAAAATGTGCCTCCATCTCACTGAATTGCTTCTTTTTTCTTTTTCACTTGTTTCCTTTTATTTGCAGAAAAAGAAAGAAGAAGGTATTATTGACTCATCTGACAAAGAGATTGTAGCTGAAGCAGAAAGACTGGATGTAAAAGCCATGGGCCCTCTTGTTTTGACTGAAGTCCTTTTTAATGAGAAGATTAGAGAACAAATTAAGAAATACAGGCGCCATTTCTTACGAGTAAGCAAATAGCTCTATGTTCATAGTAAGATTTGCAGATGTGTGACCTTGGAAACACCATTTTAACCTCCCGTTTATTCTGTCATCCTGAAAAAATGGAGATAATTGACCTACCTTAACAAGCATGAGAGTATCTGGAAAATACTACATGTGGTTCCATATATGTGAAGTAAATTAGAAATCTTTTTACACTTTTTACTGTTATAGGGCTGTCGCATCTAAGAAAGCTTGTTAACGCCAAGAATATCTATTTGCAGTTTTGTCACAACAACAAAAAAGCTCAGCGGTACCTTCTTCATGGTTTGGAGTGTGTGGTAGCAATGCATCAAGCTCAGCTCATTTCCAAGATTCCACATATCTTGAAGGAGATGTATGATGCAGACCTTTTGGAGGAAGAGGTCATCATTAGCTGGTCGGAAAAGGTGGGGAATGTGTTGATGAACTCTTATTAAAGACTAGAAGGATTGGGGTTTTTTTGGAAAAAGTTTTCTAACACCTAGTCTCTACTTGCTTGACTGGTATAATCTATCTGTAGGGTGATTCCCACCATGGTAGCTTCTAGTAATGACTGAAGAAAAGCCTAACACTCTGCTGAACACATTCAATCTGTTGAGAGTTTGAGATTAGCATGTGGTTCATTCCCCTCAGAGGATGGGTATAGGCAGTTACGTATAACTCTCAAGTTACTGTTAAGTTGTTGGAGCTAAAAATTTTACTAAATGTTTTTTAGACCTCTAAGAAATATGTCTCAAAAGAACTTGCCAAAGAGATTCGTGTCAAAGCAGAACCTTTTATAAAATGGTTAAAGGAAGCAGAGGAAGAATCTTCTGGTGGTGAAGATGATGATGAAGATGAGAATATTGAGGTAAACACCGGGGAAATTGTTAAATACAGTGTTAGTGGTAAGTGTTATGCCGATATTGGATAGTTGCAAATTAAATGTAACACAATACAGTCTCTTATTTAGGAAAGGGATCACATTAATAGAAAGGGTGCTAGAAATCTTCCCTATCCCCAGACATCATGATTTCAATAAATACTGTGTGGGTTCTCAAAGGGAGGGTTTTGTTTCACCTCAGTATAAGGGTCTATATATGTAGAGTGTTAACTTAGTTTTTATAGAAATTCAAAATTTTTCATGAACAAATGGCTGTTTCTAGGTAGTTTTTCTCCTTTGTTGACCACTGACTTACTATTGTTTTTATGAGCGGTTTTACTAGGATAAAAATTTACCAAAAAGGAAAAATCTTCTGTTTTACCAGGTGGTGTATTCAAAGACTGCCAGTGTACCGAAAGTTGAAGCTGTAAAGTCTGACAACAAAGATGATGACATTGATATTGATGCCATTTAAAGGGGTGGGTGCAGCCCAGCTTAACAGTGTAATGCTGAGAATCTTTTTGCATCATCGGCCAGAAGTGCAACATGAGTGTGCAAAAGCTAAAATGGCTTAACATCATGCTACACTTTTCTACTAAAAATGTATTGCTGTGAGTGGTCTGTATTTAAACCCAACAAGACATCTAGGGAGTCCATACACATATCAGTGAGCAGGTGTAGTTTGCTTATTTATAGCATGTTTCTTTTTGAAAAATTAGTGGTGGACACATTTGGATCACATTTATACAGTTATAAAAAATAAAGATTTGATTTTGGTCATTCTTCAGATTTTTGACTCTGAATGACTTAAGTAAGCTGAAATAATTGGCTCCTTAAAAATGTTGCACCATCATTTAACCTGATAGGATTATTGGAGCCTGTTAGGTATTAGGTGCCGAGACTTTAAAGAGGTCCTTCAGCAGAATGTGAACATAAACTTATAAATACCTTACTCAGTCATTAGGAAATACATAGTGCTTTTTAAGTCTTCTCTCTAGTCCCTGAAATTGGCATCTGATAATGTACATCCTTCCCATGCCAAGGTGGACAGATAATCAAATGACAGTGCAACACCTTTTTCTTACTAAGAAGTTAAAATGACCTGAGTGTCCTATAAATTTAAGAGCAGGTTTTGAAACTTGAATTGTGTTTGTTTTTTTTTTAAATCTATACTTGCCCCAAATTGTAGTCTTTGAAGTCATATGCATTGCACGTTGGATGAGCCAGGGGAGTTATTACATTAACATACAAGCATTTTATTATGTGTGTGTAGCTATTGCTTTATACTGAGAGAAAATGGAAATTTGGGGGAGTGATTAAATATTAATAAGCTCTGATTTTATTTGGGGGAAGCAGGAAAAGATGCAATTAATCTCAAGGAAAAACTGAGCGTAACTTCTCAGCATTTACTCTTGATTCAAATTACAGTTTGAGAATATTTAGACATACTGTATCTCTTGTTCAGTGTGGATTTTTCCCTGGATACTATGGTTCTTTTATTTTTGCATTTGGATACATAACTTATGCTTTCTCGGTTTTTGTTGCTATCTTGCCAAAATAAGTATTAACTGTGTCTCAAACTCCCTGCCACAGCCCCCCGAAAATGTGTTATTTTAAAAAGTAAAAGCATGTTTCTAAGTCATAGCCTATATTTTGGTGTAAGACTTGGGGTGTTTATTTCATGCTGAATATAGTGAGATACCCAAGAAGACTGGTGATGGCGACTAGGGCCTGACCCAGCCCATCCTGGGCTTTAGATTTGGAAATAACATCATTGCAAATTGCTTGCCTTATTTGCTGATATAAACTCGATAGGGCTTATGAGTACATCTTAGAAGTCTTGAAGGTACAAATATACACAGAAAATACAGTGTGGGAATCAAATGCATGGAGTGAATTTTGTTTGGAACACTGGTTTATATCATTCATCTCTTTGTGATCCATCTCACAGATTACAGGATGTTAACAAATGTATGTAAGTTTTTCACATTGAAATTATGCAATCTGGTAGAATAAAACCTTGTTAGCTTGATATTTTAAGGAAAAACACTGGCATTCTTACTGGGGAGGTTCAAAGTGGTCTCTAGCTGCCTTTTTTTTTTTTTTTTTTAAATAATTTTGTTGAGATTGAAGGAGACTCATATGTCTATGTGGAGGGAATGTGCTTTGTCACACCAAAGAGAAGAGGCTTTTGTAAATTCACATACCTAGGTGTAAAATTTCTTGCCATTTTCTGAAATTTTGGGGAGTACCAAGTTGCATTCAGGATACCCGTTATCAAGCTAATGAGGTTTTATTATAGAGGGGTTTTTTCCCTTTTTTTCCTCCCATCGTCCCCCCCCCCCCCCTTAAAACTGAAGGAAAATGTTCAGGGCTTCTAAAACACTAAAGAGAAAATTTTGGCTTAGACCAGTGTTCAGTCTAGTGCCAAACTTAAAATGGGATTCAAATCCACATAGTACGGGATTTATTCATAGCAGCTATCCTGATAGAGTGATCTTTCACTTTGCTCTATTCAACTCTTAAAATTTCCTGTTTCAAACAGCTGTTATTTGATTAAAACAATGTTAAAATTATTTTTGTCTCTGCTTTAATATTAACCTGAATTTTTGTTTATAAAGTTGGAGTGTTGAAAACTCCCTTTTGGTAGCTGTTGCTTCAAATTTGTGCTGGATGTTTCTTTGTGTCCTTGTGTCCCTACTCACAAAACACATGTTGCTAATTACAATGGTTGTCTTTAGATCTTGTGTTCCTAGTCTGTATCTCAAATTGATTAGAAACAAAAGATCTGCCTTCATCTGATTTCTTAGTTGATTAAGTGACTTTAGGTGGGTCAATTATGTAGTTAAATAACTGACTATAGCATTTCTCTTTAGTTAAGAAAGGAATGTTTCTAAAATTCTCTGAGGTTAATGAACTTACTGTGTGGGGTCCTCAAGGTTTAAGAGAGAAGTTCTCTGAAATCCAGTGTGTCCTGTGTTCAGCCGTGTTGGGGTTGCTTTCCACTGTTTACTCTAATGCACTAAGCCTTTGACCTGGACATAACTTTAAAAACAAAAAGCTGGCCTTCCCAAGGCTGGAGAAAAACAAGAGGGTACTGATGAGGATGAGCCTTCTGCATTTTGTGTATGAGCTCAGTCTGTGGTATCTGAGATGTATTTACCCCATGGTCACTCAACTAGTCTGGCTCCTGTGTCTTGTAGTGCTTAGATGACATGTTTAAAACCCAAACAAGATTCTGCTGACATTTATTTAAAATTTACTTTTGATGAAACCAAACTGTTAAGTGTTTAAATTTTTGTTACCATGCAAACCTTATTCGAGGAACTCTGTTAGTATTCACTGGCCAGTGTTCCAAGAGTAGCCCCCAAATGCCAGCTTGTCCAGTCTCTGCCTTGTCAGTTTCAGTGGTTGTACAAATTTCAGCTAAACCTGACCATTCCAAAGCTTCAGAGTGCTCTCTATCTGGAACAGTATAGCACTTGAATATCTCTGCCTCTCTCAACTATCGTGTGGTTCATGTTGTGTTTCCTAAACTGAGTCATGCTTACATCTTTAACCCCAGTAATCTGTATAGACCATTCAATGAATGACACTCCTTAAGACTTGCTGAAATTGTTGCGGCTGACTAGTGCACAGTCTCCAGAATTTGTGCTTTGCGCCCTTTGTTCATAGGAGGTGGGGAGCACAAGTTCAGGGTTCCATATTCTAGCCCTAGCCCAATAAAAAGGTCTTCAGAAATCAGACTGCCAATTCTTTGTTGTTCAGTTGCTATGTTATGTCCCCAACTCTGCAACACCATGGGCTGTAGCACACCAGGCTTCCCTGTGCTTCACTATCCCAGGTTTGCTCAAATTCACGTCCATTGAAATTGGTGATGGCATCCAGCAGGCTCATTCTCTGCCGCCCTCTTTTACCCTCAGTCATTCCCACCATCAGGGATGGCCAGAATACTGTAGCTTCCGTATCCATGCTTCCAGTGCCAACCTCACGCACCCTACCTGTACTGGCCTGCACTTGACACTGGCTCCAACTCTGTCCCCACGTTGAGATTTACCTAGTGGCTGCCTGTGGTCTTCACTGCTGCGCGTGGTCTCCCTCTAGTGGTGCGCGGGCTCTGGGCGCATTGGCAGCTTGCAGCCTCTGGGCTAGTGCACAGGCTTAGTTCCTCCTTGCCATGTGGCATCTTCTCAGACCAAGGATTGAACCCAAGTCCCCAACACTGGCAGGTGGGTTCTTCACCACTCAGCCACCAGGACCCCTGTGCCCACTTCTCACAGCACAGGGGTGGAACTCAAGGAGGGAGGAGATGATTGGGATTTTGAGGAATGTGTTTAAGAGGTAGCGTTTCAGAGTAACTTGCCTGGTGGGAGTAAGTAGGGGAGCACTTCTGAAAAGTAGAAGCTCCCCTTAGCTGAACACAGTGCGTGGTGGTGGTGGCAAGGCTGGAGGTGAGGACAAGATCTGGAAGCCGAGCCCTGGCGGGCTGAATGTCTACAAGCTGCAGGAATGGATTTACACTTGTATCCTGCTGCCAGGAGTGCTAAGCTGCTGTGGGAGTGGAGAGGTGTGGGAGTGGAGATCTATATCCCATGGTTCACAACACCAGCAACTGCCTCAAGGGTAGACTGGTCAGACGAGGATGCACGTTGGCTTAGGAAAGCTGGGGTCCCCAAGCAACCTGGCTTTTCTAAGGGCATAGCGTCAAGTTCGGAAGGATTAACAACTCCAAACTCCTGTCCCACCTGCAGAAGAATCTGAAAGTGCAGGAGTAATGGAATTTTCCCTGGAGACAAAGATCTCCTATTTGGGGTAAGGGCAGCACCCAGGAGGGGGTTCCGGGAGGTTTCAGAGCCTGAGTGAACATGATTCTGTTAGGACCTTCAGGTCAGGAGCAGCCATCAAGTGGTTGCAGGGTTGGATTCCTCACAGAGCAAAGGAAAGGAGTTTCAGATGTGATCAGCAATCACACGTAGTCAAGTTCATGTGGTGACAACCGAAAGTCGTGGAGTGGGGGAGAACAGTTTCCCAAGGGTTTATAACTTGCATTGCACACGCCTGGCCTTGCACTGATCCAAGGAGACCAGCAGGTCCAGCCTTGTGGACAGAGATGATACCAACTCGGTATCTGGGCAAGAAAGAACTCTTCCTCCAGGGTGCTGCTCACCTGTCTGCTCTCAAGGTTTCTCTTGACTCTCAACTATCCATGAGTTTTCTGGCCCGGCAGGGCTGCACAAAAACACTTGATGTTTGCCTTTTTCATGGCAGGCAGGCTTCTGTTGAAGCTGCCTAATGCCTAGTTTTCCAGACTTTCCAGTTCAGATCTGATAGGCTTCACTGGTCTTCAACATCTGTCAGGTTGACTTCACTTCCAGTACTATGAGCTTCACTCGCAGCTCCAGTCAAATGTACCTGGGAACAAAGGGGTGGGGGCGTGTGAATTTTAAACACGGCTGCCAAAGGCTACCTCACAAT